CAAGGGCATCATGATTGCCAATCTCTATCATCATTGATATAATATGTTGAAAATCCTCCAGCTTTTTGGCTCAAAAATTATCATGGCGTTTTTCTCTACAAACGATTATTGCGTAGTTCTAAATTGATTGCATCTTGCCCATGGATTTTGGTGGTAATCCATGAAATAAACTGCTGCAATAGTTCAATTTATATGGATGAATATTAATACCAAACATTATATATATATATATATATATATATATATATATATAATATGTATTATATGTATATATATATATATATATATATTTACAATTTTCTATAAATTCTGCCGAATGTTTGGCGTTAACATGTTTGTAGTTCGTTTTTTCGATTTTTTTCACTATTTTTTTTTCAAGTTTTTTGGTGAACGTTTAGTTTATTAAAATTCAAAATAAACTTATTTTCCGAATTCATGCTGAAAATAAGGACATATTTCGATTCCAAATGAATCATCATCAGTGCGGTTGATGTTTATATAGGGAAATATTGACTTTGTCGAAATGAACTTAGATGAAAAATTGAAAAAACGAACTACAAACATATTAACGCCAAACATTCGGTAGAATTTATAGAATATTGTAAAAATTATGGTCTATTACCAACATATATATATTCAATTTTCTTCAATTTTTCTCACTAAAGTTTTTTGGTGAACGTTTAGTCTATTAAAATTCAAAATAAACTTATTTTTCGAATTCATGCTGCAAATAAGGCCATATTTCGATTCCGAATGAATCATCATCAGTGCTTTCTGCTGTTTATATAGGGAAATATTGACTTTGTCAAAATGAACTTAGATGGAGATTGACTTTGTCAAAGTGAACTTTGATGGAAATTAGGTGTCAGGTTTCTTTATTGGCTGGTCATCTTCTTTGGTCTCCTCTTCTTCATCGGTAGCATCATATTCTTCTTTGTCACTATTTACAATGCTAGTTTTTATTACTTCTTTGTTTTCGTTGTTGGTTAAGCGCCGGGTTGGAAGTGAGGTAGTCATTTTTTGTTGTATATTTATTTTTGGTTAATTGATGTCAATTAGGACTGCTTCTGCAATTTTAAGATGCGTGTAGTTGCTGTTCTGGTATATTACTTTGGTGTTACTGTCGAGGATTTCACGGCTAATAGTGATTGAGTGTGTTGAGTCCAAATAAGATTTGATAGCACCACTCTGTTTATGCATCGTAAGCCTTCTAGTCAATGAGGTAGTAGTAATCCCGATATATGAGTCATGTTGACGTGCACAGCCGTCAAAGGGGCAATTAAATTCATATATTACGTGATTACGCCTTAGCACAGAGTTATCTCTAGGACTACAGTTGTTTTTCAGTATTAGGTGAGACGTCTTTTTATTGTTGTAATATATTCGGAGTTTAACTTTATTATTTGGGTTGGTTGGTGTGACATTTTTATTGATGATATGTTTAAGAATAGCTTCATCTACTATGTATCCAGTTGACATGTGATTTCTGTAATACAAGATGATGTCGTTATGTTGATTATTGGTACTAGGAAGGTTATTAGGTCAATATTTCCCAATATAAACAGCAGAAAGCATAAGATGATTCATTCGGAATCGAAATATGGCCTTATTTGCAGCATGAATTCGGAAAATAAGTTTATTTTGAAAACTAAACGTTCACCAAAAAACTTTAGTGAGAAAAATTGAAAAACGAACTACAAACATATTAACGCCAAACATTCCTTAGAATTTATAGAATATTGTGTATATATATATATATAAATATATATATATATATATTGTCACTAATTCTTTCTTATTTTAAAGCTCTAATTAATTAAAATTACGCCAAACAGTATTTTCTATAAGTTTTATTTAACAAACAGAATATTAACTAAATAGTTAATTACCGAATGAATATTAACTAAAACATTACGGCAAAATTAAATATCAAAACTGTCATAACGTTTTCCAATGTCACCTTCTAACTAATAAACTAAACTGGTTTATCTAATCGCCTCAGTGGCTCTAAACTATTAAGCGCTAAGCGCATAAGTTTGGAGATCGTCACATCCCCCCAACCCACGCGAGGCTGGTGGTTCCGCGTGGAAGGTCTGCATCTTTGGATCAACCCTCTCCACATCTGGACAACGTGTCAGCGACAAAGTTTTCTTTCCCTGACACATGTTGCACCCTATAATTGAAGTCCTGCAACATCAGTGCCCATCTGGTGATCCTTTGATTGGACATCTTGTTGCTATGGATCATCTTAAGCGGTGCATGATCTGACAGTACCACGAATTCGTGTCCCATTAAGTAGATTGAGAACTTCGTTATGGTGTAGACAATAGCTAATGCTTCCTTCTCTATCGTTGAAAAGTTCTGTTCAGTCAATGACAAATTTCTACTGAGGAAACACACGGGCTTCAAGATGTCGTCAACTTTCTGTAACAATGCACCAACTACTGAATAAGCTGATGCATCGCATGCTACGAAAAATGTTTTGTTGATATCCGGTATCTGTAGTATTATCTTGTCTGAGAACAACCTCTTTAGGTTCGCTATGCAGTTTATCATCTCATCGTCTGGTGTTATATTGTTCGGTTCATTTTTCCTAATTACTTGTAGCAATGGCTGCAGGAACTCAGTAAAATTTGGAAAGAATCTGCGGTAATAGCTACACAAACCTAATACACTTCTCGCTTCCTTCTTGGTTGTAGGTACGGTGATATTTAATATTTTACTAATATTACGCTGTATCGGTTGAATAGTATTATTAGAAATCACATGTCCCAGGAATTCTACTTCATAACTGGCAATATTTGTTTTGCTGGGTTTCACTGACAGTTTATTCACAGCAATTATTTTAAAAATTTTATCTAATGCAATTAAATGTTCTTGCCAGGTTGTGTGAAAAATACAGATGTCATCTAGATAGAATACTATATCTCTTCTGTGTGTAAACAATGATGACATCATTCGGTTAAATGTGGCTGGTGCATTGGCTAAACCAAAAGGCATATAATTCCACACGAAATTACCGAATGGGGTTGTAAACGATGTATAACACTTAGAATCTTCAACCATGGGTATTTGCCAGTATCCTCGTGAGAAATCTAGTGTTGAAAATATCTTTGCACCTCTTAATTTTCCAATCAAACACTCGATATTGGGCATCGGATACGGATCTATAACAGTGATGTTGTTAAGCTTCCTTTAATCTATACACATCCTCATATCTCCAGTTTTTTTCTTAACCAACACGACTGGAGCGGCATAGGGGGAATCTGAAGTATCAATAATGCCTTGTTTGTTTAATTTATGAATCTCCATCCTTAGAAAGTTTTCATGGTGAAATGGAACAGGATAAAGCTTCATACTCGTTGGCGTGTTATCACGGATCCGGATTTTATGCTTAATGATGTTCGTTCTACCCGGCACATCTGAGAAAATTACTTTGTATTTCTCAAGTAATTTTTTCATCTCTTCTTGTTGAGAAGCTGACAAATGATTTAATTTGACGTCATGATACGTTTCCGTTTGCTTCATCTCCGGTGTAGGAACTTCTACACTATCTGCTGATTGGAGGAATAACATTTGGTTGACAACTTCATGAGATGATGGTAGAGCATCGGCTATCCTCGGTAAATATTCCTTCAGCATGTTAATGCGAAATACTTTACTCTGCCCTTTCATGTTTATGGCGTAGTCAACGTCTGAAATGATCTTCATGACTTTAAACGGTCCTCTCCATTTGATAAACAATTGATTATTTATATCTGGTAGTAGCACCATTACCTCATCTCCCACCTTCAATCTTCTCAACTTTCTTCTTTGATTTATTCGATTCAATTTTATTGGTGTATTTATTGTTGAATCATTCACGACAAATTGACAAACTTTTACAACTTGTTCACGCGTTTTGACAACCAATTCGTAAGATGTCTGAACATCTGGTTTGATGTCTTGTTTTGACAACAAATCACTGTATAACGACAATGGGCCTCGGAAATTCGCGCCATAAACCATCTCAAACGGTGAGAACCCTGTTGTTTCATTCGGTATCTCCCTATATGCAAATAGCAATGGTGGTAACATTTTATCCCAGTCACCTGGATCCTCTTGCGCTATTTTATTCAACATTCTCTTCAATGTGCCATTGAACCTTTCACACATCCCATTCGTTTGGGGGTGGTATGGTGTTGTAAAGTGTTGTTTAATATTCAACGTTTGGCAGAACTGTCGAAACTCATTTGAAGTGAACTGTGTTCCTTGGTCAGACAAAATTGTATCGAGGTATCCCGTTCTAGAAAACACTACTATCAAGGCATCGGCAACATCTTTGGTTGTTATATGCTTCAACGGTATGGCTTCAGGGAAACGAGTACATAAATCTACCATTGTAAGGATATATCTATGTCCTCTTTTAGACAATACAGGCATAGGTCCGATGATGTCTACTGCAATCCTCTGAAACGGTAATTCCGCAATCGATGTTGTTTGAATCGGTGCCTAAATATACGGACCTTTTGGGCCATGAATTTGACAATTATGGCATGTTCTAACATATTGTTTAACATCTTTGGTGATGCTTGGCCAGTAAAATTCATTTAGAATCCTATTTAATGTTCTTTTGACACCCATATGTCCTGAAAAAGGCGTGAGGCGTGTCATGGGCTAATTGCAAAATTTTATTTCTGTATCTTTGTGGCACAATCAACTGCTTTGTTAGCCCGGTCTTAAGATTAACTTCTCTCACATAAATCCCGTTTTCTTGTTTCATGATTGAGGCATTGGGATCCTTTCTTGGATTCTGAATCTATTTACTCAAAGAAGGATCTTTCCACTGTTTATTTGCCATATCGTCTGGTTGATAATTCATAATTTTACCATTTACATTACCATCTTTATTTATCTCATCATTGTTGTTGTTATTTTTATTCATCTCGATTTCATCCTTGCTTCCATTATTTTTGTTGTTGTGGTTATTATTTTTAATGATTTTGACTTCTTGGTTTTCCTCATCTTCCTCCTCTTTTTTTATTATTCATCACTAGACTTGATTTATTTTGTTTTATATCTTCAATGGTTATTGGAGACTTCCTATCCGCCAGAATATCATCATCAGGAACATTATAATTTCCCTCAACATTGTTCTCTGTTTCATTGTCGTTACTATCATTCATCTTTTCTTCATCATGTACATGGTCAAGATTTTTCTCTCCACTGTTCTCTGTTTCATTATTATTATTCATTTTAACTTCATCATGTACATCCAACATAGTTTGTTCTGCGATGGGTTGTGGCTGCGTATAGTTCTGATCTAATTTTTCAAGAGCTTTTTCCTTCCTACTCCGTGATCTGGTAATCGCCATGGATTTATTGATGTCATGGTGATTTTGCCAATGTGTAATATCCGCTTCTGTACACTCTTTCACATCTGCAACATTCCCAATTATTAAATCGATGCCATCTAGGGGTTGATCTAGTACTAACGCTTTGTGCCATCCTGTCAAATACGGACTATCAACATAGATTATTGCTATAGGATGTGTACTAATCTCACCTTTGAAGTCTTTAACTTTTCCGTATTCTCCAGTATATACTATATATATTCTCCAGTACTAACGCTTTGTGCCATCCTGTCAAATACGGACTATCAACATAGATTATTGCTATAGGATGTGTACTAATCTCACCTTTGAAGTCTTCAACTTTTCCGTATTCTCCAGTATATGACTGTGGCCTCACACAATCTTGATGTATCAATAAAGTGGTTGTACCGGTATCTCTCAGCGTAATACATTTCTGTTGATCAACAAATGCTGAAATCAGTGTTAATTTACCATCGCCTTGTTAAATTTCTGCAAAAAAACTTTGTTGGTTTATACTGCGTTGATGCTTTCTTGGAATCGCTGAAGTAACAATTGTCAGTGCGATGATTATTTTTCTTGCAAATCTTACAGTATGAACTTTTATTGGGATTTTGTTGCGTACTGTATTTCCCATCTGCTCTTCCATGTTCTACACTGGTTTTCATTCTCTGACTGGTAGTTTTTGTTGTTGCGAAGAATGCGGTTTGCACTGAAGTTGGCTTGGATAACATCTGATCTAGATGAGCTGTTTTATACTGACGAATCAGTGTTGTCAACGCATCTACGGTTCGCGGACAACGTTCCTTCACAAATACCTGGACTTGTTCATTGTATGCATTGATCACAGTGTCAAGTATGATGTGGCTTCTTATTGCTTCATACGTTTTATTTACGTTAGCCATAGCTAACCATCTATCAAAATACATTGTCATATTTGTTATAAACAGACGTGGATCATCCCTGTGGTCAGGAACACTATGCAGGAATTTTTTTTCTATATTCATCCTCGGTTGCTCCAAACTGTCTCAGAAGAGCATCTTTCACAGCTGAATACTGGTTTCTCTCTTGTTCATTCAGTTGGATACATATGTTGACGGCTCTATCCTTCAAATGACCCGACAGACTTCTAGCCCACTCACGTTCTGGTAATTCACAAGCACGAGCCAAATCCTCAAATCTCGCAAGATATGAATCGATGCTCTCAGTGTCCTCATTAAAAGGTAACATCCTTCTCAATTGATGGAATTTATCAAAACAATTACCGTTATCATTCTTTTGTTGCTGTATTCTGGCCATTTCAATGTCGTGCATTCGTTGTTTCTCCCTTTCCTGGCTTTCACGTTCCCTTTCCTGGCTTTCATGCTCCCTATCCACTCGCTGTCTCTCCCTTTCCTCATGTTTATGTTTATCGATGAATTTAGAGGCCTCTTCACCAGTTAGTCCCAGCTCTTTAACAGCGTTTATATACTGAGCGAGTGACGCCATTTCTAATATTCTTACTTTTTACTCACTGCTGTTGTATGACGGTTGAAATGATGAGGACGACGACAAGTGCTAACTGGGGAGTTCTATGTTTTTTTTCTGCTGGAGTTTCTGTAGCCGACGCTGTAGCCAAGAATGTTGTTACCGAAGACGAAGAAGCTGAAGAGGACAAGAAGGCTGGTACAACTGCTACTGTTGCTGTTGAAGACGATGAAGAAGTGATGACACGAAACTGCTACTGTTGAGAACACAAGGTCACAACAAGTTTCCACAACAATTAATTTTATTTTATTTTTTATTTTATTTAATTTTAATTTATTTATTTTGTTTTTTTTTTTAATTTCAATTTAATTTTAATTTATGACAGTTTGATAATTTTACTTTAACAGCCGCAATTTTCGTTAATTATTTTTAATTTTTATTTTAAAACTCTACGCAGTTTTTCCTAACTCACGTAGGTCTTATAGTCTCGTAATCTTCTCGTAATCGCCAGGGTCGCCAAAATGTCACAAATTCTTACTTATTTTAAGGCTCTAATTAATTAAAATTACGCCAAACAGTATTTTCTATAAGTTTTATTTTAACAAACAGAATATTAACTAAATAGTTAATTACCGAATGAATATTAACTAAAACATTACGGCAAAATTAAATATCAAAACTGTCATAACGTTTTTCAATGTTACCTTCTAACTAATAAACTAAACTGGTTTATCTAATCGCCTCAGTGGCTCTAAACTATTAAGCGCTAAGCGGATAAGTTTGGGGATCGTCACAATATATATATATATATATATATATATATATATATATATATATATATATATATATATATATATATATATATATATATATGTTAAGTGAGTACCTAACATACATAAACTAGAAGAGTTAGAGAACAAATTTACCTTGCTAGTCACAACTGGTTGATGCAGTCACGAACCAAACACCCAATATGTAGTTTGGTTTCATGAATTCCATAAACCTGTTACTCTGTCGAATAAGGTTCAAATAAGTGAGTAAAAACATGGGTGATAAAAGATAACCTGCTCATGAAAGATTCGGTCGGCCAGTACGAATACATAACGTTCAGGATCTTTCAGCACGACCAAAAGTGCATTTTTGTGAAAACCTAACTCATTTTAAGCTTAGACGCGTTTCATTATTGATGTATTAACCCGGACTACTGATGAACCCCAATAACCTAAAGCGAGTTTGGTGTTCACAATAATGAACCTTTGATCGTGATGAGAGATGGTGAACAATATGAACTTGTATTGATTGACCGTATTTGCATGGTCGACTCTTTTCAACCATATTGTTACTCCCTTTTTAATTTTTATTTATTTATTTTTATTTTGTTTATATAATATCGTTGTATTTTCAGTTTTGGTTTAGTTTCTCCATTTTCGCATAACATATTTATATTAATATATAGCTATTTCAACTTATAAAGAAAAAGCCTTTTGAGGTAAAAAATGTATTTATATTATGTTTTGGTTTAGGAACGGGGGCTTTTTTTGTTTGTTCGTTCGTTCGTTCGTTTTTTATTAATTAATAAATTAACAATTAATAAATTTATTTATTTATTTATTTATTTATTACAAAATCACATTGACGTTATTGGACTGTAAAAATGTTATTGACTTTCCATTTTATTTTTGTGAGTGCCCTGAGTAGTCGAATGACACAATACGGGGACTGATGAACAAAAGACATAGAGCTAAAATTTTAAACATTTTAAAATATATTTTCTTACTTTTATTAACTATTCCAGTTTCTACTGCACTGTCAAAAATTCCCAATTTACTCTGCATAGTAAACAATAGAAAAATTATAAATAAAAACGAAAATATTGACAAATCGTTTTATTTCTTGGGCGGTAACCTGTAACCAGAAACTGAGCACTGGTTTTAGAGCTTATAAAAACAACAATGTGTCAACTGGGTACAAAAGTGAATAAAGGAAGAAAATATCATTTTTATTTTAAAGATGTTGTTCGGTAGTATGTAATTAATGAATCAAGCAAATTTCTTGCAAATATAAATATAGAAACCAGCAGGGTTTAATGCTATCTCAGATTTCTCCCATAACGGTTCTACATAGGATTGAAAATATTATTATTTCTAATGCAATAATATCGATAATGTTTACGGGATATTTCGTTAAAAATTTTTAAATGGATGTCCACAGCCAGTCGCTCCCAGCGACATACAATATAGTGCGGTCGGTTAATGTCTTCACATAATATAAATATTTCACTTCCGGACCCCAAGATATCCTTTGGTATATAGATTAATTATGTTATATAATGTTTAAAAAAAGCGGGACACAAGTTATTTGAACATTGTAAATTGTTTATTTCAACCGCAAAAAATAACCGATTTAAGTAACTGAGTAGTAACATTCATTATCTTCGATTTGCAAATTGTAACCGTTGTTTCCATGGTTACGAAGTTATTGACATTTTATATTCGCCGAAAAATTTTCAATTTCGCAAACAAACTTTTTAAATTCGTTGACAAATTTAATTATTACTTAAAAATATCAAAAATTAAAATATTATAAATAAAAATATTGTGAAAATTCGAGCTGAAGTAAATGAAATTAACATGAAAATAAAGTAAATGTGTGCTTCAATCTGTTTACTTTACTACAGACTTACATTGTCACTGCTAAGCATTTTGTCTTTAATTTTTTAGTTTTTTACGAGTAAATTGATAACAAACTGAACATAAAAATTAAAAAAAATCTGAGTTTTTATGTAAGTCGGTAATTTTTTTAA